TTAGCAAGTCTCATTTACTGCTATTATAAAGGACCCAAGATGGATAACTATGCTGCAATTGAGCATAACCACCTTAGGTCCCTGCAACCTTTAGATTTAAAAGCCATTAAAGATAAATAATGCCATTTTAGAAACCTCAGTCAGCCCTGGAAAAAAAAAAAATGTTACTGCCCACTCAAAAGCACAACGGAAATCAGATGTCCAAAGAGGAAATGGTACAATATATGTATTATATTCTATGGAGAGAGAGAGAACGCATGTGCTTTTTTCAGGATACAACAGAATGGAAGGAGTACATTCATGCTTGTTTTAACTACAGCATTGTTTTCACATCCACTCAAAAGAAGTTTCCGCTTGTCTGCCTCCTCCTCCCTCCACTGCCACATTGGCACTTTTTGGGAGGGGCGGGTACCTGGTTTTGACAGGCAGGTAAGTGGAACTATACAAAAGAAAAAGGAGGGAATATATAAGACACTGACTGCATTATCACTAAATTAGTGTTGTTGTCAAAACCATAATCAATACCGTACCAAATAGTCACATACAGTGGGTAAAGCCCCCTCTATGAGACAAGTGGTTAATCCGACAGCAAACAAGGCTTGAATCAGTGAGTGTAATAAAAAATTATTTTATTTTTATTCATGGCAAAAAAATTGCAATACATAAAAGCTAGTGGTTACACATGGTGCTCAATTGCCACAACGTGTACAAAAACACAAAAGGACAGGTAAGTGCCCTTATATTAAAGTCAGCAGCTACTAGCTTCTGAATTTTAATTTTTTGAGGGCAGCCCGAAGCTCCAATTTAACATTCAGTCATATGCAATAGATTGGGAATGCAGTTAATAGGCTTTGGTACAAAAGACATGGTCACCAACTTAAAAAAAAAAAAAAATAAAATAAAAAAAAAGGTAAAACTAGACAATCCAAATATTCTAAAATGCTTGATTGCAGTGTTTTTTTTCTGATCTATATTTATTTTTTTTCTTCACTTGCAATATACCTTTGAACTTACTAGAAAAATTGGATTATTCCAGGAAGAGTCAGTTCTCTAGCATGTTATAGCCCTCTTCTCTTCTGGGAGTGTTACTAAAGGTTTGTGCTGTCCAAAACTAGTCTGTCACTCCCTTCCTACATAAACCACCTGAGGGACAGATCTGGCTTTTGATGTCTACAAAAGGGACACTTTTACAGGTAAACATATATAACCTTATGGGAAAATTTTTATTTAACCACTTGCCAACTGCGCTATAGCTGAATGACGGCTACAGCGCGGTTGTCCAGTTCTGGGAAGGCATGATATGACGTCCTCACAGAACGCGCCCTCCTGGTGATCTCCATGATCGTTGTGTCCTACGGACACAGCTGATCACGTGATGTGGTAAAAGGCCAATCACAGCGGCCTTTTACCACGTGATCAGCTGTGTCCAATGATACAGTAGATCACCTGGTAAATACAGTCACAGCGTCAGGAAACTACTGCCGAGAACCAGCAACTGTCAGCAAACAGATCGGCACTGTTCATCAGTGCCCTGATGATCAGTGCCCAACAATGCTGCCCACCTGTGCCACCCACCTGTACCCCCCATCAGTGCCATCCAGCAGTGCCGCCCGCCAGTCAGTGCAGCCTCGTCAATGCACATCAGTGAAGGAGAAAAATTACCTGTTTGCAAAATTTTCTAATAGAAACAAAGAAACTTTTTTTGTTTATAGCGCAAAAAAAAAAACACCCAGTGGCGATTTAATACCACCAAAAGAAAGCTCTATTTGGGTGAAAAAAGTATAAACATTTCATATGGGTGCAATGTTGCATGAGCGCACAATTGTCATTTAAAGTGTGACAGCACTGAAAGCTGAAAATTGGCCTGGGCAGGAAGGGGGTATAAGTGTCCGGTAGGCAAGTGGTTAAATCGTCTGGTGTCAGACTCTCTTCAATTTTCCTAATAAAAAACTAACTCAACAAAAACTAAATATTAGCATATGACAATGCATAGGCTAGAAATCCAAAAACTATACTCAAGTTTTTATTCCAAAAATCTGTTGGAAACCATTCTGCTCATCAGGGACTAAATGATCTGGAATGTTGATAAACCGAGCACAATACAGGAGAAGCAAGGCAAACATAAACCTGTAGAAATTTGTTGCAGTATTCAACACCACACTGGTTTATAGTCAAAATAGGTCTTTCAATTGTAATTTAAAAAACTCAAGGCAAGTATGATGGCAGAAGATGCTTTAGTTTATGTATTGCTTTGCTCAAATAACTGCAAATACTTTATATCTCGGTTATAGCTAGGTTTATGAATATCTTACAGTTTGAGAAATGTCTAATACAATATTCTTGTCATCAATAATTTAAAAAAAATGCCAGCTTCTGCCGGCTCTAGGAGGAGGTAGAAATGCAGGGATCATGTCAGATCCTGCCCTCTCACTCTACAGTTTCCATCATTCAAATGGAAACTGTAGTGAATGTGGGTGGGTACACTAAAAGCATGTGACTGATGAGGGGCGTGCTTACACTGAGCCTAGTGTACATTTACATATCCTGCATATCGCAGGCATGGGGAGCTGAGAGAGTGGAGGAGACTCCCGGTCTGCCCCGCCTCCCATGACCTCACAGGAGGAGTGACAGACCAGGAGTCCCTGGGCTATCATTCTAATCAAGTTGCATCAGTGGGCAGTTCAGACTGGGGATGCCAGCTGCCCTGTTCCGCCCACTGCAGCAAGCAGGGATGGAATTATGTCATTGCTTGCTGTTAAAAACTACAGCAAGGCAGAGAGAAGACCAGCGGTCGGGGAATACATGGCATAGTGGCCACCAATCTTGCAAAACTGATATCATAGGCAAGGAAGCCTATGATTTAAATAATGCACCCATATTTACTCAGAAAACATGGACTGGATAAACAAAATGGACATCTTACCTAAAGGTATGGATCCCCTAACAATTACACAGGAAAAAGTTTCTGCCCGGAGTTAAGCTTTAATCTTTGCTTTCTCACCACCCACAGCCATGATAGAAGAAAGGAACAGAATAAAGATAAAGATGCATGACACTTTCAGCTGCATCTTTAACCATAAACTTAACAGTCGGGAAGTTGCAAGAAAATATTGCTATGTTAGATTTTAAATCCGAAAAGGAAATGCTAAGGAAGCAAAAAACGTATGTAGACAAATCTTCCCTGTGCTACGCTTTTTCTTATTGTTTTAATAAAGCAAAATCATTATTGAAGCTTATGTAAAAGATATTCAGGTGCACAACTGCCAGATCATATGGTGAAAGGGGGCCAATCTGAGTAATAGCAGACACCATGTATGCACTTTTGCATGAGGCGTTTGTAATGCAGCTCAGCAATGGGGACATGAATGTGCTTGCAGACGTGTTAGAATACATGTAATGGCACTGTATGCATCCATATGGATGAATGTTTCTGTAAGGAATTTGAGTACTGTTGCCTTGAGTTTTGTTTATATGGACTGTGGGGTTGGTCCTGTTGCTTTTGCACCTGAACAATTTATCTGTGCGGTTCATCGGGTACTATAATTGGATTATGTATACTAGAGACCAAACAAACAATCTCCCACTTTCCAAATTCAGCCCTGATGTTCAGCTAGTGGAGATCTGCAAATAATGGCTAATCTGCTGCCATTTTTTTATTTTTTTAAACAAGGTTACAGGTTTGAAAATTATGGCTCCTCATCTCATTATTCAAAAAGCTTTTAACATCCATCAGATTCAGTCTAGTAAACGGAATGTGTCATTCAGGAAGATTCCCATACTCCCAAGCTATCATAGGTAACTGGTTCGTTAAGAAATTACAGCTGCATAAAAAAATTAATTCATGAACACAAACGTGGTGTAAAATATTGTGGGGCCCGATTCAGTAATCGATTTGGCTATTTCCTCATCTCTAAAGGTGGTCATACATGGATCAAAATTCAGCCAGCTCAGTAGGGACATGCCAAATTTCGATCCATGTACGGGCAAGGCTGGTTGTACAGAAAATCGGTCTACCAATCAACTTCTGTACAGCCAGCCTGTCTGTGGTTTTTAACCGAACGATCATTGTATTCTGACAGTGGGAATGCTCCCCGGTGTCAGAATACAACAGCTTAGCAAGTAAAATTCCCCTCATCCACATAGAGTGTGTGGATGGGGGAATAGTGTCTTTTTTTAATCCATCAATCCACTGGATTAAAAAAAAAAAAATATATGTATGGGCTGCTTATCTAGGGTGACAGCTGGTAAAAGCACATATTGGTAGGTTTACAATGAAAGTAGACATGCAGAAATGTATTACATTAGTCAGATTAGTACCATGTTCTGATGTCCCAACATTTAAAACTGAACAGAATAACTGATGAACATTGCTGTATGTATTTATCATTCCCTAAAAACAGTTTTTATAAATATTGTCCAGGTTCTTTTAAAAACAAAAGTGAACAAAACTGAAAAAGTAGTTTATCTTTGCAGTATTCATTGACAAAATTAAAGTAAACAAAATAGTCACCTATGTATCCTCAAGTACAGTTTTTCCAGCAAATTCCCATTAATACTCTTATAAATGTTAGTCCCCCCTAGTCTCAGACAAGCAAAACAAAATGCATGGTATCACATTAATCCCATACGTAGCTATCATGGTAACTTCCATTTGTGTACATATTCACTTGTAGGAAATCAAATACTATATTGTCTACCCGAATGCTAAATGATGCGACATATCCAGTTCATGTAGAATTTGAATTTGATTTGTGTTTATAATGACAATTTATTAACACTTGGCACGTAAAGGGAGGTACACTGCTTCACAAACAATGCCAGATAACACATATCACAGTGATCTCAGTGGAATTGTACTGGTGGGTAAACTCGTTTGTACTCCGCTTTTGATTTCATCTGCTCACAAAATGTTGCAAGCATATGCTGTAAACTTTTTCAACATACAGAGCTAGCAGACAGACACACATATTACAAATGGACCAAGGAGAGTACCGAGAAAGTCAAAAGTGGATGTCAAGCACTATTTTGTCTTCATATAAAGCAATAACCAGCATTATGGCAAAACCAAGCAGAAGTCCCAAGTTCTGCAAGATAAACTGTCCCACTGGGCAATGTCCATGTTCTTCATTTTCTCCATCCCCATGCAGCATTTCTGGAAGCTAGGAATATAAAAAGAAAAGTCAGATTTTATTTAAGATCTTTCAAAACCTAAAATGAGAGTGCTAGAGCAGAGTGACGCACAAAGCTTGGTAAGCAAGAGAGTCCATGGCAGGGAGTTTGACTGCTTGTTTTAGGAATCAAAGGGCATCCTCTTGGTGCTTGGCATAAATGTCAAATTATTATTATACGGTATTTATAAAGCGCCAATAGTTCACTCAGCGCTGTACATTACAAAGGGGGACAGAACATGTGACAGAACAATACCAATACAATGCAAAACATGAGGGGATTGAGGGCCCTGCTCTTTCGAGCTTACAATCTAGGATACCCAGAATCCAATTCAGGCAAGGTTTTCTCTGCTAAAATATTCAGCCCTGCCCAACAGTTAAAAAAAGTGACCTGTTTCTGTAGATTTTGTGTGGTCTTTTCTAGTTCTAAGTGTATTTCTCTTATGCATTGCGGTGGTCAAGTATACTATGCCAGGCATGTTATGAATGAGTATCCATCAACCATTGTTTTACACTTGCTCCCAGAATGTCTGTACTGACTGTAATATTCTTTACATTGAGTGCATTGAGGATCAAACAATGGCAAGCAAACAAAACAGTAGGCCAGACCAGAACTCCTATTACCAGCATACCTCAGTTTGTAGCAAAGCAGTATTGAGAGCATGATCATAAAACGCATAGAGGCGGGACCAAGAAAAGGATTTCATGATTAGTAAAAAAAGAAATCCTACTTATTTTCTTGTCCAAGAGGTGGGCAACACAAGAAATGCTTAACAGGGCCAAGAAAACAAAACTAGGCACTGCCTACACGCAAAACCAGGCTGAAAGAACTTGCATCCGAAGCTGGCATTGGAGGAGTCGGCAACATCCACCCAGTAAAACAAAGGTCTGGTGTCAATCTAGACAAATACGGCTTCCTTGAAGGAGACTAATACTAGACTCCTGGACTGGGAACCTCAAATCTGAGATTAGAAAGTCTTAAAGTGAATCACTCACTCAATCAACATTGATTATTTTTAATCTTAATGTTGCTAGCATCAGTAAATAGATGGTAAAGTAAATCAGATTTACTTGTTTTTACATTTATTCAGTTACTTCCTGGTTTCCATGCTTAGGCAAATGATGTCATACATCCCAGGCGTCTTCAGGAGAGTTTTTTTCAGATAAGCACACCCTCCTGTCTGCATGCCTGAGCCAAGGGCAGATGGATTCCAGGCAATAAATGCTACATGAATCATCTTGTCCTTACTCAAGATGGCCATAGCCTGAAATGCTACAGGGTGTTTTTCAAAGTGATATCTCAGCAAGATAGAGCATTGAGACGTGGATGGATGGGGAGTTTGCTTTGATTAATAAAATTGAATTAAACAGCATTTTTGATTTGTGTGGTGCTGAGGTACAGTGTAATACAGCTTTAAATATATCCTGTGGAAGGAAATATCTGACCTGAGCCATGTCCAGGACTAGACCAAGATACTCCAACTTTGTGTTCTAGAATGAAGGGAGCAACAGCAACAATGGTAAGATCTCTTAAAGGATTTTGAACAGTTAGCAATAGTTTGGCACAAGAAAGTCACAGCTAAAAAGAGGTAAAGAACAGGGCCCACCAGAGACAACAGAGTTCTAGACAGGGCCTTTAAACTGCTTATCAGCTGGGTCCTTAAAGATCAATGCATCCTCCACCATTACGGTGGTCATTTTCTTAAGGAAGGACATTTCCACATTGGGGGTAGAAAAAGTTTGAACAAAATTTCTCCAAAACAGGAACAAGGTTAATAAGTGAGTGGAGCTGTCAGGAATGGACTCAGCACTGGTGGTGGGACTGGCCATCCGTGTGGGCTGCAGTACCAGGACTGACCAGCGGGTGCTCTCAGCAGCCAGAAGCTCACTCCTGCAGTCAGCCAACACCTGGGGCTGATTGCAGGAGGTGTATTTAAGGAATGACCAGGCCTGTGATCAGGGCCTTGGTGTATGTTTCCCATGAGCCCCTGTATCTTGTATCCTGTGTTCCTGTTCCTCTGCCTATCTGATTTGTTGCCGACCCTGACCTCTGCTGACTTCTCCTGCTTGATCCCTGGCTTGCCTGACCATCCTTCTGCCTGATCTTCTGTACCGCGCTGCCCGTGAGTTACGGAACCCGGCTTGTGACCCTGACTATTCTCTGCCTGCTCCTCTGGTACCTCGATGCCCGCACGTTGCTGACCTGGCCTGCCTGACTACGCCTGATGCTACCCAGACGATCCATCCCGCACGGATCTGTCCCTGTTACCAGGTCTGCCAGCCTCTTCATGTCAGGCTTTCCCACGGTACATACCCTCGGCGGACCCCTCTACCTCAGTTGGGTGCACTCAGGGGCTGCGACCTGGTCTCAGTCCTGCGCCAAGTCCATCCCCACCATCAGGGGCTCTGGTGAAAAGGCAGACTGGGGCTTAGACTCCGCGCCCTGGGGAATCCCGTTCTGTGGGTACTAGAGATCCCGCCAGGCGGTGCCTGACACTACCTAACGGCCTGCCTGACCATTCCACCTCTCCAGCCCTGACTACACCTGTGTTCCCACACATTTCTGGTCATACCCGGATCCTTAACAGGAGCAAACCAAATGTCAAGGTGTTTCCAATCTCCTTAGTGAAAATGGGTGCACTGGTAAAGGCTTTGTGGCCTTAAGAGCTGTTTAGGACCCATGACAGGAAACCACATCAGTAAAAGCAATAACCTGATCTTTTAGTTTTACAGTGGTGTGCACCACAATTGATAAGAACCAATGGTCTGTTAATTTAGAGCAAAACCAGTGGATTGAGACACCTTGATGACATGCTCATAAGTCAAAGACCAGATAGACTCAGAATCAGACAGTCTCAGGTGGCTGATGGCATAGAAGCCACCAAGGCTGCTGAAGATAAATTGCATACAGAATATATGTGGGAGAAGTTCCATGTGGGTCTATGCAAGCTGAAGCAGGGAGATGCTCCTCAATGCTGCATGACGGGAAAGAGTGCAACACTAATGACCTCAGAGCTCAACCACACAGCGCAAACCCCTTCTGGATCAAAACTGTCAGGATACAGAGAGTGTGAAAGCAACCAGAAAACTATGTAAAGAAGGCAGCTCCGGCTACTTAGCCTTACCAGCCTACTCACAAAGCGAATCTTCAGAGACAGGGAAAACACTGGGGCAGTGTCAGCGACTATGGAGCTCAAAAGCATTCTTCTGCAAACTTATCTGAATGAAGTCGGAAAAGAACCCTATGTGAAATCCAGTGCCTGAGCATACATCCCAGTGGAGTCTGGACTTGACACTCCAAAAGTCAGGCTGATGAAAGCCATTCAGAATAGTCTTCGTGGCATGAATAAACTTCTGTGTATTAATAGGATAATTCTGTGATGATTAGCTGTGAACACAGAACAAAAGAAAGTGGAGCATATAACGTACTTTAACCGCCTCCCGCGGCGCAAGGTAGTTCTCTCGTTCTGGGAGGATGTCATATGACGTCCACCCACTCTACCCATGGGGGCGTGCGGAGCGGCGATCGGTGGTGCGCTATGTCCCTGGGACACAGCGGATCACCGATCAATGGAAAGAGCCAATGATGTCGGCTCTGTCATGTGATCAGCTGTGTCCAATCGGCATTCCTCTCCTTATGAGCAGTCACGCTGACAGCTCGTGAGGAGAGGAGAGCCGGTAAGTGGCATTACTCAGAGGTGACATGTACACTGATCATCAGGGCACTGATGATCAGTGTAGCCCCAGCAGTACCACCTGCCAGCGCCCAAGAATGCCACATATCAGTGGCCATCTGAGCTGCCAGTCAGTGCAGCCAGACAGTGCCACCTAACAGTGCCATATATACGAGTGCTGCCTTTCAGTGCCCATCAGTGATGCCTGTCAATGCCCATCAGTGCCACCTACCAGTGCCTCCCCATCAGTGCAGTTTATCAGTGCCCATCACTCCAGCCTCATTAGCGCACATGAGTGCAGGAAAAAAATCACTTATTTACAAAATTTTATAACAAACTAAGAAAAAACTTTTTCCCCCCAAATTTTCAGTTGTTTTTGGTTTAGCAAAAAATAAAAACACAGAGGTGATTAAATACCACAAAAAGAAAGCGCTGTCTCAAAAAAATGATAAACATTTCATATGGGTACAGTGTTGCATGACTGCGCAATTGTCATTCAAAGTGTGACAGCGCTGAAAGCTGAAAATTGGCCTTAAAAAAAAAAAAAAAAAAAAGAGTACAGAACTGGGTAGTCTGGACCAAGTCATGATCAGTATAGTGTACAGAGGACATCACCATTTGCTCAGTATACGCCCATCCCATTGCAAACCAACTTCCATCAGTGGAACAGCAGGCATTCTCATCAGAATGCAAGCACACCTGCAGCTACTGGCCAGGCATCATTCTCAATGCCCCTAGTTCATACACATTACTTCCCTGCCCCTCCCAATGCTAACCATGTTCACACTAAACTGTCATGTGAAAGTGTAAAACCAGGCATTGCTAAAAGTGTTGGAAAATGCTTTCAGAGAGCTTTAATACTATTAGAAAATACATATGCTAACAGTTTACTATGAAATCATTTTAGTACTTCTGTATTTAAATACCTAAAACTGTTATTTTAAAGCGGTAGAAATCTGTCACTTTTACATACAGGTAAGCTTATCTGAACGCAAAATAAATTTCCTCCTAAACATGCACTGTTTAGGAGATATACGCATGTTTTGCAGCTGATGATGTCACCGGCGCATGAGCACTTACACTCTGAATTGCACATGTGCTGTCAATTCAGAACTCTATGCCAAGATCGTGACTTCTGTGCATGGTAATGTCATTGTAGCTACCCTATTCACATGGCTGGAGCCTGCGAACTCAGAAGACAAACTGGGTGAAAATGAAAGCCCAGTCAGTGGCAAAAGTACGCCACTGGAGGCTTTGTTTTACATTTAAGTCTTTCATAATGTGCTAGTTTGCAATGCATACTAGCACATTATACCATTAACTTGTGGGGGCCCAGATTATTGAATTTCTTAATTTAAATTAAACTTTACTATGCTTTAAGAGGAGTTAAATAAAATTTAAAGCTGAATTACAGGTTTGCATAGTTGCATTGGTCCATCTTGCACCAATATAAGTATACAAATATGCATGTGTCATACATGGCCTATTACTTTAGAAGAAAGAAATTACTGTAGTAGGCACCATTCCTACAGTGATTGCCACTAGCTTTCAGGTCTCACACCACATTGTGACATCACCTCCCCACCTCTCCTACCCTTAACACTCTGCATTCAATGAGAAGATGCAAGGTGTGAACTGAATGGCACCTGTGCCAAGTAAGCAACCTCCTGTGTTCATTAAGCAGCAGGGCAGCCACTTGGCATGGGACCCAGAAGCTAGCAGTAATCACTGTAGAAGTGGTGCCTACTACATTGATTTCCAGCTTCCACAGGAATTGGTCAGGTATGAAACACATACATACATACATACATACATACATAGGTCCAAGCTGGACCATTAACTATACAAAAATATGCACAACTGAAATTCAGCTTCAATTGTGAAAGTTATTTTTTCCTTCCTACTTTGTCTTTCACTATGGTTTAATCATTTTATACATTTGGACTCAAAAACTTGTAACTGTCGCTTATGAAGGGGCAGGGTTGCTTTGCTTTGTATCCAAAAAGGCATTAAAATACCTTTTTTCACATCAGCAGTGCTTTGAAGTACAACTAAAAGGAAACCACAACCTATGACAGGGCTCTATGGTAACAGCAGACTTAACTCAAGTTATGCATGTGTGCCAAGAAAATGCTTAGGGTGTCCTGGGACCATGAAAACCCTACAATGTAAAAACTAATAAAGCTGCTATGGTAGCCCTGTGGCCACCCTATTACTGCTCCTCCCTAGTGGTTACAGTGTATGATGGGTAGCCTCTATGTATGGATAGGCAAGAGGCACACACAGCACCATAGCAATCATGAGAATAGCAGCTCTACATGGAGGTGTCAGGGTCTGTTTGTAGACTTCTAGTTGAAAGACAAAAACACATAGGCATATGCGGATACTAGTAATGTGGGTTCACGCAGTTAGCGAACAGGTCAGGTACATGTCAAATGCACAAGAGAGGGGAAATATTTTTCAGAATAACCTGCAAACAGAATTACTGAACAGCATTTAGATTCTCTATTGTCCCTTACCATGTCAACTAGTGCCACATATAGAAACATGCCAGCTGTAATAGCAAAAATCCACAACGTGATATTATTGGCATACTGTCCAACTGCTGTGCCTATAAGCATGCCTATGTAAGCCATCATTGCAGAGAGAACATTGTATACAATTGCTTGCTTTACAGTCATACCAGCTTTCAGTAACACTGCAAAATCACCTGCAGGAAAGACAACATAATTAGTTAGTTTTGCATGAAAAGCTTAAACAGGAAAGACTAGAAGCAAATTTATACAGCAGTATATCCATACCACCGCTTTTTAAAAGATAAAATCTCCTAGCACATTTATAGAACAGTGGTATACTTTACAATTTACTCTTCCTCGCTTCAGGTTTCAATAAAAGGAAAAAGGTGCAGAGAGAAGAACCCAGTCATTAACAGGTTATGAGACTGGGATAACCATCTTAAGTGTTCTCTGCAGCGTTTTATAGAGAACACCTTGGACACTGCAGGCTTCATGTGCGTTTTAAAGATTGGTTTTAGCTTTAAAGCAATATTTCACTAGCTGAGCCTTTTTAACCTGCTTATATGTAAGTGTCAACTAAGACCCCCTTCACATATGGCATTTGGGATCTCAGGCCAAATCGCTCTGACTCTGCCAGCAACCCCAAACCAAAACGCAACATGCATGCTCGGGTACCATTCATTTTCAATGGCACCTAAATGCCAGCACAGTTTTGCCACAATAGTCACATAAAGGCAGAAAGCTTGGTGCAATGCGGTCTGCCATGATTTATTGCTTGGCAAAACCGCACTGCGTTTAGGTGACATTAAAAATGAAGGGCACCTGAACGTGCGTGGTGTGTTTGCCAATATTTCAGTGTGATTTGTGATCGTGGGCAGAATCACAGTAATTCTGCCTGAGATCTCAAAAGGCCAGATGTGAATGGGCCCTAGGCCTAAGGCAGTGTGTTGCTTTCCAAAAGGTGGAGGGAGAAAAGTCACAGAAATTGTTGATTTACTTTTGGGTTGCGGAACACACAAGTACCAGCATATTTTTGGATACTGAACTGAAGCTTTTAGAACTCTGTATCATACTGCACTTACACAATTTTTTTTTTGTTTTTAAGGAAGCTTGGTCACTTAGCACAACCTTTTTTTATTCACATTTTTCTTGATATACCCATCGCAATTATGCAGCGGAGACAAATTACTCGTTTTATTATTTTTTTGATGCAATCGCAGGGTAATTCTGAGCTTTGTTACATGTTAAAATGTGTCATGTGTATAGAAAACACTTATGCTGTGCTACCCTAAAAATTCAATGTTTAAAAAAAAAAAAATTGCAATTTTTTCTGTACAAAAAAAAAAACCAAACAGTTTATATACAAACTGAATTGAACGAAAAATAGGGTTCATTCACACCAAGTCTATCAACCTGCATTTTGCTGTGCTGGGTAAATGCAGGTCACTCCAAGAGCAAATAAATAATGACTATGTACCTCGTTGACACTGCAGCATAACATTGCATGCAAATGCATGTCACGGCCCACAATTTTCAGTGCAGAGAGTGTATTGGTACATACCCTCAGTAGGCAACCACATTTTAGTGTACAAACATGAAATAATGTTCTGATGCTTATAGTTTGCTTTGTATGGTTTAATTTTCTGTACTACTGTTTTTTATGCTTTGGCTTAAAAGCAAACAATGGATATTTCTTGATACAACATACACACAAATCCTACCCAATTCGTGTGGCAGCTCATGGCAGAACACAGCTACGGATGTGCTAATTCCCCCAGTAAGACCTGCACTGAAAGCTGCACCTGGAAACAAGACAAACCATCAGAGAGAAACAAGGATTCTAGAGTGACTGTATGCTCAAATCATTACTCTTTATACAAGTCTTGAAAGTATAACAAATAATATTTGTATATTGCAGGTTTATTAAGAAAGGCAAACAAATGCAAGGAATCTAGTTATTCATTTCATGAAGAGAAGTATTCCTTAAAACTCTGCACTTACCTATAGCTAAACCATCACTGAAATTGTGCATGCCATCACCCATTATAACCATCCAAGCTATACTGGCAATGCCAGTGTTTTTCAGATCTTTTCCAGAATGACAATGACCATGGGAATGATGGGAGTGTTTGCTAGGATTGTGTTTCTTTGATACCGCTTCCTTTGTGTGATTACTTTCATATTGTCCATCATCCACACTTTGATCATCATCATAAGATCCATCTTTATTATTGTGTTGCATTTCTTCGTCAACTGCAACAAAAACCTTTACAGGAGACTGAAGACTATCAACATACGTCATTTCTGTTTCATTTAGTCTCTGAGCCTCAGTAGCCGCTTGATCCTCAGTTCCTAAAAAAAAGAAAAAAATAACTGAGCAGCATTTACTTTAGGCAAACAAGTATCAAAGATGATGCTGCAGCACTAAGATCTCTGCCCCCAGCTACATCACCAACCTGGTCTCAAAATATTAACCAAACCGCTCTCTATCCTCCCAAGACCTTTTGCTCTCTAGTTCCGTGTTACCTCCTCCCATGCTCGCCTCCAGGACTTCTCCCAAGCTTCTCCCATCCTATGGAACTCTCTACCCCAATCTGTCTGGCTGTCTCCTAATCTATCCACCTTTAGACGATCCCTGAAAACCTCTCTTTAAAGAAGTCTATCCTGCTTCTACCTAGTAAACCGCCATATATTTCCTCCATCAGCACATCCCCCCACAGCTATTACCTTTTGTATCACTCAACCCTTCCTCCTAGATTGTAAGCTCTAACGAGCAGGGCCCTCTGTTTCCTCTTGTACCGAATTGTATTGTAACTGTAATGTCTACCTTCATGTTGTAAAGCGCTGTGCAAACTGTTGGCGCTATATAAATCCTGTATAATAATAACTAAGATACTAGGTTTTGATTATTTGATTATTGGGACAATGTGTAGCATTATTTACTTTGTCTTCTCTGCACAATACTGTGAAAACATGCCAGGTAAACTCCAGTTAATCATTCCAGATAAGGCTATGGGTATTGGGAAAAATGGTAACCCCCCCACACAAAAAAAACAAACAAAAACAAATGGTAATTTAAAAAGCATATGCAAATCCTAAATACGCCCTCATCCAAAGTAAATAAAAATTACACAGTGAACATAATCCAGAAGAAAGGGAAAAGCCAAGAAATAAGGACTGCCTGCCTGACCTAGATACTAACTTCTGGAAATTTGCCTTGTTTAGGCTTTACACACATACACATGAACCCGTAACAGTGTTTATTGTGGACGTATTTCCACATACTAGAGACATTTGTAGCACACAGCCACCCATAGTAATGAATGGCTGGTACACTAGCTTTACGCAGTCATACATCATACCGGCATAAACTCACGCATGAGTAAAGATTCCTGGCAGCACACAAGCCACATTCAGGGGGTTTACACAAGTACAGCATTTACCCATGTACAACTATAGTAAAGCCATTCATTACTATGAGCAGCTGTGTCACCTGGGCACAGAAAACCGCCTGTAATTTACACTGGGCAACCTCATGTGGCAGTGTGCATGAAGCCTTAAATGTAATACCGTGTTTCCCCGAAAATAAGACACTGTCTTATATTTTGTTTGCCTCAAAAAAACACTCTAGGTCTTATTTTCGGGGTAGGTCTTATTTTTTTAATGTGCAGGTGTGGACAGGGGGTGCAGAGGCGAGCTGCAGACAGTTGTGGATGAAGTTTACTATAGAGAGGGCCAGCTGATGACAGATGACAGTTGTGAGCTGCAGTCAGGTGTTGCAGAGGTGAATTGACAGGTGAGTTTCAAATAGGGTGCAGGGATGAGCCACAGGCAGGGTGCAGAGATGAGCCACAGGCAGGGTGCAGAGATGAGCCACAGGCAGGGTGCAGAGATGAGCCACAGGCAGGGTGCAGAGATGAGCCACAGGCAGGGTGCAGAGATGAGCCACAGGCAGGGTGCAGAGATGAGCCACAGGCAGGGTGCAGAGATGAGCCACAGGCAGGGTGCAGAGATGAGCCACAGGCAGGGTGCAGAGATGAGCCACAGGCAGGGTGCAGAGATGAGGCACAGGCAGGGTGCAGAGATGAGGCACAGGCAGGGTGCAGAGATGAGGCACAGGCAGGGTGCAGAGATGAGGCACAGGCAGGGTGCAGAGATGAGGCACAGGCAGGGTGCAGAGATGAGGCACAGGCAGGGTGCAGAGATGAGGCACAGACAGGGTGCAGAGATGAGGCACAGACAGGGTGCAGAGATGAGGCACAGACAGGGTGAAGGGGTGAGTTGGAGACGGGATGCAGAAGTGAACTGCAGGTCCTATCTTCACAGTCAGTGCACCAAGCGCACTCACCACTCCGCCTCTTCCTCACTGGCCAGTGATCACCCCTGGGGCATTGGCTTCCATGCATTAGGCTGCAGGATGAGATTCCCTGCCCCACCCCTAAACACACTGTACCCTCAGATATCTGTTCCTTCCCTGTCCCACAGTGAGTACAGAGGTAGGGAGTTCTGTGGGAGCATATGGTGCTATTACTTACAAGAGGGATTGTCACTTGGAAACACAAAAGCCGCGCTTCTGTGATTATAGGAGACAGTAGATATTGGTGTACACAGGGCCAGTGCCAGAGGTGGTGGAACAGCTGATCACAACTAGGTCTTATTTTCAGGGTAGGTCTTATACTTCAGCAATTCCCAAAAATAGGAGTAGGTCTTATTTTTGGGAGGTCTTATTTTGGGGGAAACAGGGTACTATCTCCCCTCAATATTTCATTAAAGGGAAAGTAGAATGATTTTGTACATAAAGTAGCAAGAAAAGTATGTGATCCCCTTTGAATTAACTGGTCTTCTGCAGTAATTTGCCATAAAATGTGATTTGATCCTCATCTAAGCCACAATGGACAAACACAATGTGCTTTAGCTGATAACACCAACAATTCTAATTTCTCATGTCTTTATTGAATACACCCATTAAATATTCACAGTGCTGGAGGAAAAAGAACCCTTGGAGTTATTTGCTGGCTGAATCTCCTTTGGCAGGAATGACTAGTAAACACTTTCAGTAACTCTAGATCAGACCTGCACAATGTTCAGATGGAATTGTCGACTATTCCTCTTTACAAAACGGAGTCAGCTTAGACGCATTTGTATGATGTCTGGTGTGTACTGCTCTCCTGATGTCATTCCATGGCATCTAGATTGGTTTAAAGCAATATTAAACCCAAAAGCAAAACATATTGCAGCTTACCAATTCTTAGATGTGATGGCTTTATTAGTTTTCTTTTCTTCTATTTTCATCTGGCTATTCAGCCAGCAACTCTGCTATTTTTCTCAAGTTCAAGTTCTCCAGCAGACCGTATCAGTTCACATACATGAGGCAACCCATTTACCACTGACAGGGGCAATTAAAATGCCCAGCTTTTATTTATTCATATAAAATCTTAAACCCAAAAGAAAAAAAATGTTTTGCTGTAGCTTCTTATAAATTGTTAGCTGGAGTTTAGCTTCAATTTGTAATATTTCACATTTGCTAATACATTTAAACACACGTACCCCCACCCCGGCTGACAATGCTGTCTGCTGTGTCCTATGCTCATCCTACAAAGTGGTGTCTCACTAATACTGGAAGTGAGAGTTTTTTGAGAGATATGATTCACATAAGCCGATGCTTCTTATGAACAGCAATCCTCTAATGTTTCAGTGTCTTAGCAAACTAGCTCTAAACTACATTTCCAAACTCACTGCATTAAAATGTTACAAAACCCACAACAGTAAAACCAGTCTGCATATGCAGTAAAGCATGCTTGTTATACTCACACTGGAACCTAAGGGGTTAATCCTTTGTATTGTGTAAAGACCATTTGATCCTGTCTTCTCTGTCACTCCTCTTGTTCAAAATGTCCACATCTCATCTCCTGATCAGACAGACTGAACCTGTAGCCACATGCACATGCTCAGTTTAGTGTGGATTGCTAGTTTTTTTTTTTTTCTTGGGAGAGGGCATGTGATCAGCACAGGGCCAATCAGCACTATGCAGACAGAGGTCAGGGGTTTTGCATCCTCCTAGAGCAGAAAGAAAATTCCTACAAGCTTTAACCAGTGCTCAGATGAACACTGATAGAAGACACAACACTGCTCTAACTGCTGATGACAAAAGCAGTTTATTATGCATTTAGCAGTTTATATTTACTAAAATAAATGCATTTCCATGTTCTGTGTACTATGGGAGACCAGATATAGTGAATGCATGGTCCTGGGTTTAGTAACACTTTATTTGGACTCCAGGTGTGCAAACTACTGACTCCAATTAGCTTTCATTGAAGTAGTTAGTCTATGGTTTCACCTAATTTTTTCCCCCAGCACTGTGAATGTTTAATGTGTGTGTTCAATAAAGCCAAGAAATTTGAATTGTGTGTGTGTTATCAGCTTGGGCATATTTTGTTTGTTTATTGTTGTGACTTGGAAGAGGATCAGATAACATTTTATGGCAAATTACTGCAGAAAACCAGTTAATTCCAAGGGATTTGCATACTTTTTTGCCACTGAAATGTTTTATATGACCATTAGGTAGTCTTCTCCAGTCAGCATTTGAAGGGTTTTAAGCTCCTTTTCTTATGTTTCTTTCTGACCTCAAAGGCTCAAGCTGAAATTTACAAACACAATTAGTCATATGAGGGGCTCATCCACTTCCCTTTCTGAATGTTTTAATGACAGAAATAGTTTTTTTTTTTTAAAAAAGAGACAGCTATGGCTTTATGGTCTTTTTAGATGACCAATAGATGTTAGATCTATTGTATATGTGGTTTGCATATGTTGTGAACAAATGCAGTAATCACAGTAGCCAATCAGAATTTCTCTTGTATTGGTCTCACTTAAACACAAAAATTTAATAAATGTGATTGGTTGCTAGCAGTTACTTTGTTTCTTTTAGCACAAATCACAGACTTCAAAACATTACTTGCTGCCAGTAAATGGTCTTTTTAGTTTAGCTTAAAGTGATATTAAGGGCTAAGATTTTGTGAAAATGCATTTGTTTTAGAATGCATGAATGTAAAAAAAAACTTGAGCCTTTAGAACTACTTTAACCGCCTCCCGTCCGCCATATAAGGCAACGACGGGAGGGCGGCGCTTCTCTCGTTCTGGGAGGACGACATATAATGTCCTCCCACTCTGAGTGTGGCGATCATTGGTGCGCTGTGTCCCTGGGACACAGCGGATCATCGATCACTGTAAAGAGCCGATGACGTCGGCTCTGTCATGTGATCAGCTGTATCCAATCACAGCTGATCACATGTAAATAATAAATGCTGGTTATCAACAGTCCTCTCCTCCCGCCAAAAGCTCAAGAGGAGAGCCAGTAACTGGCATTCCTCAGAGGGGACATCTACACAGATCATCAGGGTACTGATGATCAGTGTAGCCTCATCAGTGTCACCTGTCACTGCCATCAATGCCACATAGCCTACCAGTGAACATCAGTGCCGCCTAACAGTGCCCGGTAGTGCCACCTAACAGTTCCAATCAGTGCTGCCTATCAGTGCCATATATGAGTGCTGCCTTTCAGTGCCCATCAGTGGTGCCTGCCCATGCCCATTAGTGCCACTTATCAGTGCTACCTATCAGTGCCCATTAGTGCAGACTCAATAGGGCACACTACTGAAGGAGAAAAATTACTTATTTACAAAATTTTATAACAAACTAGGAAAAAACTTTCTTTTTTTTTTCTCAAAAATGTTCAGTATTTTTTAATTTGTTTAGCAAAAAATAAAACCCCAGTGCTGATTAAATACCACCAAAAGAAAGCACTGTCTAAAAAAAAATATGATAATTTTGTTTGGGTGCAGTGCTGCATGGCCTCGCAATTGTCACTCAAATTGCGACAGCACTGAAAGATGAAAATTGGCCTGGGCAGGAAGGGGGTAAAAATGCCCGATAGGCAAGTGGTTAAATAACTGAATGCTTGAGAGTTACTCACAGATTTTCATTAATACTGAGTTTTGGAAACTTTAAGGACCCATGAACACTGCTGATCTTTACTGCGTGCATTACAGCTTGCTAAAAAGCATGTGTCCAGTCTCCCTATAATAATAATAATAATAATAATAATAATAATAAAAAAAAAAAAATAATAGTGCGTTTCCATGCCTGCACTGCAGTGCATTTTGAAAAATAAGGCATATCTGTGTTAGTGGGTTGGATGCCCAAAGAAATAAATGGCATGGTTACTAATGGATTAAAACGCATGCTGTGTTTTGATGCAATTATTAACAAGCTTTGGTCAATGACTGTCCACTCCAAATCCTACATTCAAAAACGCATTGGAAACGTGTGTCAACACACACTGATAATGCACCTGCCTGTTGTGCAGAGGGTTTGTTAATGAGTTTGGCCACTGTAATCAAGATTGTTCCTTATGTGTTCTACAGAAGATTAATATAAGGATACCATCACTGCACCAGAAGTTGTAATATCATCCCCTTACCCAGCATATAAACTCATTGATGTTATGTCTTTATACACAAAGTAACAATTTCTATTAACTGTAACTAGGTAACCTAAAAATAATTTAGCTCATAACACAGCATACAAAAGATTTTAAAGACAAAAAAACATCAGGAAGATGGATATTTATGACCACCACAAACAGCTCCTTCAAAAAATTGAATAAGAGAACAATGGAAAAAAAGCATTAGTCAATCAAGAGAGTCTTTGATAAAAAAAAAACACCTTTACCTGCTAACGGCTTGAGTTGTAGCCATTCGGCATCTGACCTTCGATTTAATTTGTGATCGGACAGCTTTCTTCCAACTGTAGACTCATCACCTTTAGGTTTTCGTCTTAACCTACTTTTAATTCCCTAAATAAAAGAAAGCCCTTGAAACAGTTATCTGATTTAAAATGGAAGACTTATTTACTAGACAAATTTTAAATGACAAAATCAAACTACACAGTTACCTGATCACCTTGGGCAAACGAGTCCACACAAATACAAATGCAGCCATTACACAAATACATTTTTCACTCAACTCTTATTATGCAACAATATTGGTTAGTTGTGGGATTTTGAACATGCTGAGCCATCTTACATAGATTGGTCAACATATTAGTTCTTAACACCTGAATTTGTAATATAATCAACTAGCATTGGCTTTATCTGATCCTGCTCAGTTTTAAGAACCATTTAAAATAGTTTTAGAGCCAAAGTTGTAAGTTTTTATAAAATTTTAGATTTTATTTTGCAAATATCTTTCAGGTTGGAAATATAAAGTCTTCTCACTCTTGAATTTTAGTTATGCAAGTAAAATGGTAAAGTTTGCATACAAATGAAACTATTAACGTACACTAGGGACAGCAAATTGTCCTTGCAACATAAACCAATTCAGTGCTGTAACTGATCGTTGCATGTTCTCCCTGTGCCTGCGTGGGTTTCCTCTGGGTACTCCGGTTTCTCCCAAAACATGCTAGTAGGTGAATTGGCTCCTATCTAAATTGGCAATAGTATGTGTATGTATGAATTTAAGTTAGGGACCTTAGATTGTATGCCCCTTGAGGGTTAGGGACTGATGTGAATGTACATATATATATATATATATATATATATATATATATATATATTCCATCCATCACATTGGGCTCTACAACACTGCTAAAAGAGTATATAGTGTCAAAAAACGAGAAGGAAAAAAGGAACAGCTCCTCTGAGTGCAGTATGCTTAAAATAGGTTTAAACGTATACAAAGAAAGCAACTCACAAAAATTGTGGTAAAAAGCGCTTTTTGAACATAGGTCCCATTCTTTGGCTCCTGGGTGGTCCCTCTGGGTGTCACAGTATCCAAGTTGGCAGTGGCGCTGGTGGTTTCCAGCGCTTACTGCTCTGTCCATGGAATGCTGACAGACGGGGATGACGTCAGGTGGAGGTGGCTCACGTTCGGAGAATGTGTACTCCTTACTCTCTCAGCGTTCCACAGACAGAGCAAGAAGCAATGGAAACCACCAGTGCCACTGCTGGCTTGGATATTGCGACATCCAGGAGGGACCACCCAGGAGCCACACAGCAGGAATTATTTTTAAAGCGCTTTTTATCACAATTTTTGTGAGTTGCTTTCTTTGTCTACATTAAACCTATTTTAAGCATACTGCTGCACTCATAGGTGCTGTTCCCTTTCTCCTCCTTTTTAAAAGAGCTTGAACATGAATAAGAATAAAGTACAATATACAAATGCAATATACATTGATCTTTTATCAATTTTTTAGATTTGGAACTGTATGCTAAAAATTGTCTGAGGACTAGGTCCTTCAAGGACACAGACAGGTAGAGTTTCATTACGTTGTCATTACCCCGTGTGGTTGCGGAAAGTGGCTTGAGGGCAGTTCCTCAGAATGAGGAGAAACTGCTCTAATGATTATCTTAGCCAAGCTCAGGTGCTGAAACACAGATTTGTCCATAAAGTTTAAAAAGAAAGGGGTCTTGATTGAGAAAAAAAAAAAAAAAAAAACCCAAAAAAACAAAACAAAAAAAAAGTGGTTAACTACACTGTGTGCACAATTAGGCAAGTTGTATTTTTCAGGATTAATTTAATTATTGAACTACAGTGCTCTCGGTCAAATCAAAATGTTAATAAACCTCAGACCTGAATATTTACGTACAAGTGAGGTTTCTTAAGAGAATATCTATGTGTGCACAATTATTGGGCAACTATTAGATAATAAACTGAGAAGGGAAAATTCTCGTTTTTCATTTAGTTGCATAAGAATTCTGCACACTAATATTTGCCCAATAATTGTGCTCACAGATATTCAAAGAAAGCAAAAAAAAAAAATTAAAGTGACCAATATAGTCACCCTTCTTTTCAAGAACACAGATTCCATTCATGGAATCTGTCAGTTTCTTGATCTGTTGACAATAGGCTTTTTGTGCAGCACCAACCACAGCCTCCCAGACACTGTTCAGAGAGGTGTGCCGTTTTCCTTCACAGTAAATCTCCTGTTTAAGAAGAATTCTTAATAGGGTTTAGGTGGGGTGAGGAAGGGGACCATGCTATTATTCTTTCATCTGTATACCTTTATGGGCTAGCCACGTACTGGAGCACTTTGATGCATGCGATGAAGCATTAACCTGCATAAATATAAAGGAAGGTCTTCTTCAAAAATGTAGACTTTTTCCTGTACCACTGCTTGAAGAAAGTGTCTAAAATCTTGCGGTAGGTTTGGAAGTTGATTTTGAGCCTATCTTCAACCCAAGGCCCAACTAGTGCATCTTTATTAATACCAGTGCATACCAGTATCCCACCTCCAACTTGCTGGCATCTGAGTCGACATGGAGCTCTGTGCCTGTTACTGATCCAGCCATGGGCCCATCCATCTGGTCAGTCATTTCATCAGTCCATAAAACCTTTGGGCCAAGAAATATCTGAAGACAGATTTTTCAGTCTAGATGTTTCAACTTGTACTTCTGGGAACTCCAGGTAGGTTTCAGTTCTGGAATATGACAGCACCTGAGGATAATGGGTTCCTGGTAGCTTCGCGTTTGATTCTTCTCAAATATTTGGCAATTAATTTGCATCCTTTTCTCAATGTTTCTTGTGACCCTGTTGACTATTTGCAACAAAAAAGTTTGACGGTTCTGTGATCACGCCCAATATTTTAGCAAATTCAAGAATGCAGCATCCCTCTGAAAGACTTACAATTTTTGACTTTTCAGATAAACTTTCAGATGACTTTTTAGTAACTCTTAGCCTATTTTGCCTGAGGAAAAGAAGCTGCCTAATAATTATGCACACCATTATATAGACTGTTAATCTCCTTCGGCCACACCCTCCCCCATTACAAAAACACATATCTGATCTGCATTAACCACTTCCTGTCCGGACACTTTTACCCCCTTCCTGTCCAGGGCAATTTTCAGCTTTCAGCGCTATCACACTTTGAATGACAATTGCGCGGTCATGCAACATTGTACCAATATGACTTTTTTACCATTTTTTTGAGACAGAAAAAGCTTTATTTTGGTGGTATTTATTCACCGCTGGGATTTAAATTTTTTTTGCTATGTAAATGAAAAAGTGCAAAAAATTTAGAAAAAAGTGTTTTTCTTATAACATTTTGCAAATAAATAATATTTCATCATAAATCTTGGCCAAAATTTATTCTGTTATCTTTTTAGTAAAAAACAAAATACGCCAAATTAGTTTATAACCAAAAATTATAATTTTTACACATTTTGTTTACATTTTTATTTTTTTTTTTTTATATTCTTGTTTTATTTTTTTTACATACTGTCACCCTAGTACATGGTGACACTACTACTTGTGGGGGGTGATGAAGATTTTTTTTTTTTTTTTTTTACAGTGATTGCTTTTACACCCATATAGGATGTAAAAGCAATCATTTCTCTTTCTCTCTGTCTGCATTCTTGCAGCCATTGAGAAATACTGTGTAAGCTGTGATTGGTCAGAGCTTGTCACATGGTACAAGGCTATTGTAAATAGCCTTGTACCATGTGACCTCTGTGATCATTCACAGATTTTACATGTAGTAAGCAATGATGTCACAAGTGACATCTTGCTTACTACTTTGCATTTGATCACTGATTGGCCAATCAGTGATCACTGATTGGCCAATCAGTGATCACATGATCGGGACCTCGTACAGAGGTCCCGTCCGGCGATCGGTGTTTCACTGTGTCCGGAGGACACAGCGGGCACCGGTTCGCGGTGCTACGTGCTCCCAGGGAGCATGCACAACTAGAAATAGCGGGTGCCGTTTATGAATGGCAACCCGCCCCTGGAGTGCCACCGTCCTGCCGTTTAAAAACAGTAGGCGGACAACAAGTGGTTAAACAGCCGTTTTTTTCATGATCCTTGCTACACAATGCCCACCTGCAGAACAGCCTGTAATGGGATATTTTTATCTATTTTTTTTTATAAATAACCTTTTTGCTATCTGTATTCTGCACTACCGGTCCCGCTGCCTTGACGATTTTCTAGGACTCTTGGGATATCGGCGTCATTTATACCAGGAGGCTTAGGGAAGCCGAATGGTGAAATCTTGCAGTATTTCTTGAAATGAAGTGACATTATTGGGAGGATTGATTGACAGGTTGCCATAACAAGAAGAAAGTAAGAGCTGGCTTCAGATGCCCACACTAGTAATGGCTGCTGCCTGTCTGCCGAGATCCTGCTGAGGAATGTCACATTTACAAGTAAGCAGAAGACACACACTTAGAACAATGTCTTTAAAAAAAAAAAAAAAAGTCTGTAATTGGAGGGATGAGCCGACTGCTCCATCTTCCATGCCCTCATCCAGCTGTTGGACAGACGCATTCCTCCATCCAAGCTCATCCCATGTAGAAACAGGATCGTCTAAATAAGCCAGCACTTGCTGCATCCGCCATAAGACCTCCGTTTCCATAGCTGTGGGTGGTATCTGTCTCTTCTCTCCTGCTATCCGAATCTTGGAACCCGGTGGTGGTTTGGATGTGTTTACAGCTTGGAAGCACAATCCCATCGCTTGCCACCAATGTAACGGAACCGGACCCCAGACTGCACTTGGGTATATTCCGTTATACCGCAGCTTCCCTGTCCGAACATAAATCCACAGACCACACCCTTGAAATCCCTCAGGAAATAGACAGCACCCGACTCTTCTTAAAACAGGAAGTCAACTCCTTTATTTTACACACACAACAAGTTATATACACAGGGCGGGTAAACACAACCAGGAACAGGTAACACATCATCAGCCCACCCTATCAGTGGGGAGGGCTACAGGAAACACATCATCACCCCTCCCCGTCCAACCAAAACACAGAACAATGGGGCAGCACATGGAAAAAGGACAATAGACAGCCATGTGGCCGAGAACAAAGGACAACACACCAATACACAATAGACATACACACCCTGTACCCTAACAGGCACAGGGTCACTTAAATATAAAAATTTGGGAAGATGATTCAGAGGTCCCCCCACCCCCAAAAGTCACTCCCATCACACACTGCATTTACAGTGGCAAGAAAAAGGTGTGTGAACCCCTTAGAACTAACTGGTCTTCTGCAGTAATATTCCATAAAATGCAATCTGATCCTCATCAGAGTCACAAGAGACAAATACAACGTGCTTAAGCTGATAAACAAAAAAGAAAAGACACTCAAACACTGTAAAATTGCTGTAAGAAGCATCAGCTGTTGTGAACCATGCATCACAAAAAGGAGCGCTCTAAAGACATAAGGCTGAAAAGGGACACAAAGCCATCTCAAAGTGCTTAGACATCCATCAGTCAATAGACAAATGGTCTATAAATGGAAACACTTTAATATTGTGGCTACTCTTGCTAGAAGTGGGCACCTAGCCAAGATGACTCCCAAGGCACAATGCAGAATCCTCAATGAGGTAAGGAAGTAACAGCTAAAGGCCTGAATACATCACTAGAACTGGCAAACATTCCTGTGCATGAGTCTACCATACACAAGTCTTTGAACAGGCAGGGTTGTCCATGGCAGAATGCCACAGAGGAAGCCACTGCTCTCTAAGGAAAACAGCATATCTACCAAAGAGCACCTTGGCAAACTACAACGCTACTGGGAAAATTTTATAGACTGAAGAAACCAAAGTGGAACTGTTCAGGTAGACTACTCAGCTCTATGTATGGCTCAAAGTGTTTTTACATACTTTTTCTAGCCACTGTATTTGGAGTTTAACCAAAAATATTAAGCAACCAAATAAAAAGTGATCCTTTTTTTTTCCTTTTTTAAAGAAGAAATATTGCTTTAACTGACATGCAGACCAAAGTTTACCCCTTTGATCTGCTACAAATGAAGCAAATACAATTGTGGCAAAAAAATTATATTGCTGCATTTTAATTCTTATTGGCACTGCAGAATACGGTTTTGTGAGTACCATTGTACACAAAACAGCAAGAGCTACTCCTGTAGTACAGGACAAATCTCATTGCTAATAAATGGAGCCAGAAAATCTGGGAACTCTAGGAAAGGAAGAGCTACAGGGCATACCACACACCCCTAAGATATTAAGATGAAGCTTTTAGGGGGGTATGTGGTAGTCGTCAACTGGCATTCATACACACAGGCAAATACATTTAAATCAATTTACTTTTAGCATAGCCAAGTAAACAATTATAAATAAGCAAGTAGAACATACCCTTTGCTCATTATAGTGTTTAAACATTCGGAGACAGTGCTCGACTATAAACAAAAGATAAATGCCACCAAGCGCAACTAGGCCTTTCATAACACTGTCATACTCCTGGTTTTCCACATGGTCTAAGTCTTTACTGTGGCTGTGTCCAGACTCTTCAGAACCATGATCATGCCCACCTTGTGACTGCATGAAAAAGAAAAAAAGAAGAGAAAAAAAAAAAAAAAAAAAAAAAAAAGGTTAAGAAAATAAAGACAATGAAAAACCTTATGCAATTTTATAAAGCAGATATCCCCAAAAACAAGTAGAAGGCAGATGCAAGTAGACCGCCTCTTTTGCTGACGCGCTTTCTGAATTAAATACAACCGAATCAACGGCTCTGGTGCAGTTTTGCTTAAACAAGCTGAAGGTAGAAGCCGTTTGGTTACTATGCATAGCCACTGTGTGCACCAGTTTTAGTAAATCTCCCCCTTTGACTCAATTTGCAGTTTCAGGAGGATTGTTAGATCTTGCTTCTGTTAGTTTGGTGAAATTTCATCTTGGATGTGTTTTTATCTAAACAGGAATACAGGAGACCTTTAACCCTTTTGCTGCCACTGATATTTGCCATATGTCAGCAGCAGGGAATGGGGGTTTTACGCACATTAAAAGCAGCAGCCAGGAAAAAGTAATACTGACAAGCCGACTGTGGCTTCTTTGACACATCCTAGCAAATGTCGATCTCATACATCACTCCCGGGTCTAAAAGATCCCTGATGTCTCAAATGAAGGAAACCTGTCACTAAGAAGCATCACACAAGTAATCAAGTTTTTTCCCCCCACAAAATTGTATTCCTTATGTGATGCTTGAACAAAACATATACAAACAGAAAAAAAACATATCACAAGACTGGGAATCCTGCCGTCTTGGAAGACTCATGAAAATATAGTTACAGGTATGTCCAACTCCAGTTTTCCCAGTCTTCCAGGACTGCATATGAGAGGATTAGCAAAAACTTATCAGACTAGGGAGAGACAATAAAAATAGCCTGAGACCTTACCACACACAGAGCTGACCATAAATATCACAGATATGGTGACCCATGTTCTATTATATTCTCAGATAGAAAACCAAGGCAGGAGGCCGAATTGCAGGAAAATGTGTAAGTCATATCAGAAAATAACTCAAATCTACACGGGACGGATTCCAAAAAATGTATATCAGGTATAAAAGAACCAATTCCTAGAAAGGCCTTGGTCAACGAAGAACATATGAATGCCCTAAAAGGAGCCAAGTTCCCCTACATTGTGCAGAAATAAACAGCTATACCGAATAAATTTGTGTTATGTTGGCACCACTGATACCCCAAGCTACTGCACAACTAATGCCACTGAAGCAAATAATCAGTAGGGTGTTGGCTAAATGCAAACATAAATACAGCACTTTAGGAAATGTTAGGGGATACCAAAATTCCTCTGGAATAAGTCTCCAAATGAACATTTTACCTGTGGGGAGAGTATAGTGCCACAGATGTGAAAAACGTCCTTAAGGTTAATGACAACCAGTAACAAGTAGTACAGGTATAATCAACTAGCAGTTAGACAAAAACAATCCATACAACCACTCACCCACAGAACCTGGGGACCTTTGCCCAAGGTAGACAAAGTGTGAATTTCCCAACTTAGAGGCCATGAAAAAATGTATGTGAGGACTAAGCAACTATAAAACATTTAACTCAGTGAAACATCCAATTTCTGGAGTACCCCTAGAAGTTACATGTGACAGGAACCAGAGGTGAAATACAGCAGCAGGAATCATAAGACCCTATTCAAACTTAGCAATTTGGAATAGTTAAACAGAATTGCTGCAATTCTGCCCATGATTCCAAATCACAGTAAAAACACATGACCCGAGTTTGGATGCCATAATTCCTAATGCCACCCCAAAAGAGGCACAATTTTGCCACAACAGAATTGCAAGGAAGTCCCGGGAAACGTGCCTTTAAAAATTGAGAAGCTTGCCACTCAAAAAAGCAGCGGGAGCTTCTTTTGGCCAACATGCAGAGAGCAGCCCAAGCCAAACACCTTTGAGGTAGCCAAACCCAGGTAACAGCTAATAGAAAACAATTTGATCAGTCAGCCTACAATGGTCTGGAAACTTTCGCTAATACATGGTATAATGCAAAAAACACACTTTCCCTTGAATATCAAGTGTTTTAAAAGGGCATCCACATCTTTTAAGGACACTTAATCTCTGAAGATTTAATCTACTGCATTCCCTACTGCCAGGGGAATGAGGAACTATACTCACAGGAAGAGTCATCATCTCCCCTTAAAAGTTGAGAACATTTTCTTTCCCAAGATCTACTAGACGCATCCAGCTTGGAAAGAGTAGTGGGGCCAGTAAATGCCCCTCAAGATCTACCATCTAAGGATCCCCAGCTGACACCACAGGAGGAGGAGATATTTTCATGGGTCAGGTTGGGCAGGGGTCTCATATCTACCAAGAAAGACCCAAAGATTGGAAGGTGGAGGCCAATTCCTGTAGAAGAGGTTGCTACAAGCATTGGCAGATTCCTCCACCTATGAGCTAAGTCCTAAAGATAACCAATTGAGAAAATCATCGGGACCCCTAAAATTCCCTTTAAGAAGCCCTAAGCAGAGCCCATGTGAGATTACAGGCTAGATGAATACCTATGAACAAACACTAGTGAAAGCAAGTAGGTACAACTACCTCTAGCTTACCTGTGTCCTGCTGGTACCAAGGGTGCCTGAATCTGCCAGAGCTGCAGCCTGCATTGAAGAATCCAAAATACTGTATTCGCTTCTCCACCAGTAGTGTGTTGACAGCCATTGCTGGAAGGAACTGTCATTAAGGAACTAATCGGCTTTTCTGCTTTGCTGAGAATGAGCCTTGGAACCAGTACCTTAAAATAACTTCAACCCACCTGGCTTAATGCCTGGCATCATCCGGTCATAAAGGAACACAGTCAGGCCACATAAACATGACTGATACAGCTACCGCATGAGCCTCTGCCAAAAGTGCACGCACCCAGATAGGGAACCCCCGCTGCCCATGTTGGCCCGTCAGGGAAGATTCTCACTTCCAGATTTGGCCTTCGCCAGCCATGGAAGGAGATATGGAACCAAGTCCCACCTTTCTGTACTGAGAAAGGGTCCTACAGGGCAATCTAGCAGAGAAGCTTATTAGCTACTCCAAGGGGAGCCAGGCAGATAAAGGGGTGGATGGACAAATAGGATAGCCAAAAACAAGAGGACTCCCTCACCCAGGTTCCAGGTGATCCAGCAAATCTGCCTGTAGGAAATACAAACTACCCAGTTCAGCATGAGGACTCCTTTTAAAAAGTGTATTTAACGATGGGTTTCCTGTTCTGATTGGAGGAAGTGCGTATGTGTCAAATGCTGTCCTGGATGATGATTTGGGGAAAACACACTATTAAGCAGCATGGATTACCATGATTGTGGTATGTCTGGGACCTTACTCCAGGGAGCAAGTGGTGATGCTGGGTGATGACTGAAAATAAATAGCTCAAGCATTTTCAGGAGAAAAAAAAAATCACTGTCAAGGTGCATGCATTAAACCCTTCAATACTGGGTACTTTTACCCTGCTCAGGCCAATTTTCAGCTTTCAAACTTTTGACTGACAATTGCACAGTCATGCAATGCTGTACCCAAATGACATTTTTATTATTTTGTTTACATAACTAGAGCTTTCTTCTGGTGGTATTTAATCACTACTGGGTTTTTTATTTTTTGCAACACGAAAAAAAGACCAAAAACCTTGAACCCCCCCAATGTTTTTGTTTGTTATAACATTTTGCAAATAAATTATTTTTCTTTATCAATGTAGGCCAAAATGTATTCTGCTACATTTCTTTGGTGAAAATAATTCAAATCAGTATTTATTAGTCTGTAGGAAAGGTCCACAAACTATTGTACAGTATATATCTGAAAATTGATCAGTCCTGAAGTACTGATGGCCAATCTAATTTCTTGAGGCCCAAAGATGTCAGGACAGTACAGATATCCTCCAAATTACTCCTTTTTGAAAGTAGACAGTCCAAGGTATTTAGTAAGAGGCATGGCAAGTTTTTTGAAGTTATAATTTTTTGTAGATTTGGAAAATTAAGAAATTTTAAAATAAATATTCTCACTTTTTTTTTTGTTACTACATACTGTCACCAGTGCAGTACAGTATCATCATATAACTGGTGTGGCGGTGATCAGGGACACTGACTGGCGACAGTATGAAAAAAAAAACTATTTTTATTCCATAACACAATGTGAGACCAGAGTAGTATGTTGTTACAATAGTAACAGTGTACTACTCTGGAGAAGTAGTAAGTATTTTTTTTTTTTTTTTTTTTTTTTTTTACACACACTCAGATTGCTTTTAGCGAAGAATGTCTTTGCTATAAGCAAGCATTTAACTGAATGAAATCGATTCATTCAGGTTTTTTGTATTAATTAGCTGTGATTAGCTACAGCTAATTACATGACACAGATTTTAGATATACATTTTCCACCAGTTCACTTTAAGGCTAATAAATAAAAGAAAAAAAAACAAAAACCTTACAGGTCCTTTACAAACCATTAACATACATGGGGTAGCAGATGAAGTAGTGCATCTCCACTCAATGTTCCCACTGCTAATGCAACAAGGAAATTCAAAAGGAACTTAAAGCAGCCTTGGTTTACAATTGGAATCAGAATAACTCCGAGCAAGGATAATAGGCTGATCACAGTGATGGAGAAGAAGCCATAAAGCCACACTATAAAAAAGAAAAGAAATTACATTAGAAAATAATAGCACCACAATAGGCAGTTTTATAATTAGTCCTGTAATAAAGTATGCTTGCCAAGTAAAATATGTAACAGTTTAATGTGATTGTATAATGAACTGTCAGTTAGCAGACTTCATATAATTACATCATAATTGTATAGTTTTAAAGTTTTGATGTGACCTTCCTATTTTTGACATGATTGCTCTTTAATATCTTTGTTACTATGCAAAAATATGTTTAGAATAGCCACAAGAAGAAAAGATACAAGACCACCTAAGGAACAAATTCTTTCCAGGAGGCAGGAAGACCTGTTGACCTGCTTTGTGAAAAGGAGCAGAAACAAAGTAGAACAAATGCTCAGCACTGCAAAGAAGGAATATGAAAGCATGCTTATATCTAGCAGCCTCCTTGTCTATATACCAATAAAACCTATGCAGAGTACTTTTTTTTTTTTCTTCTTTTAATGCCAACGCTAGTAGCATCTAATTGAACTGTAAAAAAATCAATAAGATAACTCTGTAGTGTGAATGGCTTGCTAAAGTGAGCACATCCACATGACCAGCACTAGTAAAGCTAAAGAGCACCCCACACAAGAGGTTGTATAATCAGAAAAATGTGCATAACCAGCTTGAAAGAATCCTGTGATGGTAGCAATATAAGTGTGGTCATTTGTGACTTCTCTTTAAAGGGAAGAATAGTTCCCTGAAGAGAAATATTTGAATACTTTGACTTAAAGTATGCAGAACAAAAGTTAGGACTTCTGTTGCTGGATGATATTAAGCAAATCCCTTGTGTACAAAACACTGAAAAGATTACCTTTAGGAACTAAAGAAATTTGTGAAAATGCTAGCAATTTATTAGTATATCATCCTAAACTGTATAAACTCAACAAAACATTGCTAGAATATCTAGGGGTCTGATACAATACATCTTGAAAGGCAAAAGAGTTTCCATTTTTTGTAAGGGATCACTTTGCTACACAACACTACAGTCACAAGCCAACCTGTCGAGCTTTTAACAGGTAAAATATATTGAATAATACACAGATTAACAAAAAATCAGTCAGTGTAGCTGACACTTAACCCATCACATACAGGTTTCCATAAGAGAGGATGGCCAAGCTTACACAGCAACCCTAACATGAAACAAATGTCACCCAAAATGTACCCCCAACCAGACGGTTGTTCCGCATAGTCTTTCACTCTAGGGTGTAATTTAAGCAGGGGAAATATGCTCAACTGCCAGTCTATTTGGGGGGGGGGGGGGGGCTTAGAGGGAAGAGGAGGAGATGGAAAGGGCACGAGGAAGAGAAGGTAGAGAAAGAGAAGGTAGAGAAAGGAATTGAAGAAAAAAAAAAAAAAAAGGAGGGCGTTCCTGGGAAACCAAGTAACGGGGTAGGGTCAGGAATAAAACAACCGGGTAAGCTACAGCTGTGGCCAAAAGTGTTGAGAATGATATGACTATTGATTTTCACAACATCTGCTGCCCCAGTTTTTAGGATGGCAATTTGCATATACTCCAGAATGTTATGAAGAGTGATCAGATGAATTGCAAAGTCCCTCTTTGTTATGAAAATCAACTTCATCCCCCCCAATAAAAATTTCCACTGCATTTCAACCTACCACAAAAGGACTAGCTGACATGTCAGTAATTCTCTTGTTAACACAGGTGTCAGTTTTGAGGAGGACAAGGTTGGACATCACTCTTTCATGCTGATTGAGTTAGAATAACAGACTGAAAGCTTTAAAAAGGAGTGTGGTGCTTGAAACCATAGTTCTTCCTCTGTTAACCATGCAAACATGTGCAGTCATCAGTGCTTTACACAAAAAAGGGATTCACAGGAAAGGATATTGCTGCTACTGGGAATGCACCTAAATCAACCATTTATTGTATCATCAAGAACTTCGAGGAAAGAGGTTTAATTGTTGTGAAGAATGCTTAAGGGTGCCCAAGAAAGTCCAAGTGCCAGGACGTCTTGTAAAGTTGATTAAGCTGTGGGATCAGAGCACCACCAGTGCAGAGCTTGCTCAGGAATGGCAGCAAGCAGGTGTGAGTGCATCTGCACACACAGTAAAGATGGCCTGGTGTCTAAAAGTGCAGCAAAGAAGCCACTTTTCTCCAGGAAACACATCAGGGACAGACTGATATTCTGCAAAAGATACAGGAACTGGACTAATGAGGTAAAGTCATTTTCTCTGATTATTCCCCTTTCCGATTGGGGCATCTGGAAAAAGTCAGAGTTAGACTTACGGGTAACTCTTTCCTGGAGTCTTCCAGGACAGCCCTAGATATAGCTCCTCAAGGGCAGGAAACCTATTGCCTTTAACATAAAAGAATGACCTCCTGGCTTCCCTCTCAGAGAGTACTGATGGCCGGACCTAAAAAATACAGTAGAAAGAACATAAAAAACATGCCAGTTCAAAACAATTATACCAACTAAAAAAAAAACGGGTGGGAAGTCTGGCTGTCTTGGAAGACTCCCAGAAAGAGTTACCGATAAGTCTAAGTCCGGCTTTCCCCCAATCGTCTTCCAGGACAGCCCCTGAGATGATAACTGAGAAACTACTTAGTTGTGGGGTGCACTGCTTGAAGCACTTTGATCTCAAAAGACTAGTTTTGAGATGCAAGCAGGTCCACTCTGTAAAGGCTAACAAATGTCGAGAAAGAAGTCCAGGTAGCCGTTCTACAGATTTGCTCCGGGGAAGTGCCAGCTATTTCCGCCCATGAGGCAGATAGTGCTCTAGTAGAATGTGCCTTAAATCAGGCTGGTGGAACTTCCTTTATGGCTTTATATGCTTCACTTATAGCTTGTATATCTTGCGAGTGTAGGTTTGGAGGCCTGGTTTCCCTTCTTGTTACCTGCGTATAACACAAACAGTGCCTGTGAGGAACAAAACGGTTTGGTTTGTTCTAGGTAAGGAGACACACCTTCTTAGGTCCAGGATGCTAAATTTCCATTCCTTTCATTTGCAGGATTCTGGCAAAATGTTGGCAAAACATTGTCCTGGGTTCTGTGAAATCTTGGGAAGAAAACCAGGGTCAGTTCTCAAAACTATTGAATCTTCTAGGAAAGACATAAGGTTCTCTAATAGATTGAGCTTGGAGCTCACCAATTCTTCTAGCAATCGTAACTGCTACATAAAAAAAAAAAAAAAAAAAAAAAAAAAAAAAAAAAAAAAAAAAAAAAAAAAAAAAAAAACACGGTCTTCCAAGTCAAAAAATTTAGACTAGCTGCCATCAAGGGTTCAAAAGGGTCCCTTTAATACAAAATCGCCAAATCCCAATTTTAGCAGTTAGATATTCTGACTGGTCTTTTACTGAACAAGGTTTGCAATAACCTTGAATCAAAAGGGGTCTTCTTGCAGTGGTAACTGTAGATAAACAATGAGAGCAGCTCTCTGTACCTTTAAGGTGCTTAAGGACAAAATTATATCTGCACCGTCCAGCAAAAATTCCAAAATGGCAGGAATAGAGGGTTCCGTTATCGTCCTTCCTATAAGCCAGGAATTACATTTCATCCAAATCTTTGCATATATCGCAAAGATAACTGGCTTGTGGCCCTCCAGCAGAGTAGAAATCACCCTTTGTGATACTCCCATCTTCATTAAGGTATCTTCCTCAGAAACCAGGCCACTAACTTTAATCTCTCTAACTGAGGGTGAAGCAGATGGCCCTGGCTCAATAGATTGGCCCTGAGTGGTAGAAGCCAAGGTGCGGTCTCTGGTAAGGATTGCAGGAGAGTGAACCATGATCGTTTTTGCCAATGAGGTGCAATTAGAATCAGATTTGTCTTCTCTTGGCAAAATTTTTGCAATACCTTAGGTAGCAGTTCTATAGGTGGGAATGCACAGCAGCACGGAAACTTCCAACCGTTTTGTAGTGCATCTATTCCTAAGGCTGTTTTTTTCCCTTTCCAGAGAAAAAAAAAAGGTTTGTCTTGGAGTTTTCTTTTGTGTCAAATAAATCCATGTCTGGCTGACCCCATACACCCACCAATTCCTGAAAAACCTGTGGGTGTAGAGACCATTCCACTTGGTTTTTGCTACCTCACAAAGTTCCCTGCAGTTTGATGAATTTCTTCTCTCTTGGGAAGATCACTGACCCAGAATCATTTTGGTATTCAAGTGGGCCCCCCAACCCCAGGCGATGGCATCTGTTGTAATTCTCATAGAACTGGCAGTCTTCACACTAAACCTTCTTCTAGGTTTTTGTTGGTTCACCACCATAAAATTCTTTTTACGGTCTCAGGAATTAAGAGTTGTGAATCCAATGATTCTATCTTGCCATCCCAGTGTTCTAGGAACCACTTCTGCAGGGGCCCCTGATGCAGTCTGGCCCACTGTACTGCAGGGAAGCTGGATGTCATTAACCCTAAGATGGACATTACTCTTCTGATAGTTACTGGTTGATTATCTAATCTGGTTTCACAGATCCAGAACATTCTGTTTATCTTTTCTCTCTGAGCAGTAGAATCCAGTATGTATCCTAAAAATAAAATAAAAAAATCTTCTGGGAAGGAATTGGATTTCACCAGGATGTTCTTTTTTAGCTGTTCTTCTGTTGTTGCGGTTAGTGAAAGATTGTCCAAGTATAGGATAATGGTTGCCCCCTGCAGAAGCAGAGGGGCTAGGGCTTCTGCCAATACTTTGGAAAAAATCCTTGGAGCTGAGGAAAGACCAAACGGCAATGCTCTGCTTTGAAAAGACGTAGGTCTTCTTCTCCCAAACTGAGTGCAATGCGAAGAAATTTCTGGAGATTCCTTTCGGATTGGAATGCGTACATAGGAGTCTTGGAGATCTGTAGTTGGCATGAAGCAATTGAGTTGTAGAAGGGCTTGTATTGAAAAAATTGATTCCATGCTGAATCTTTTGTACCTTATTGCCTGGTTTTAGGGTCGGAGGTTCAGGATTAGTCAAAATATTCCTAAAGGCTTTTTTTTTAATCACAAAAGACATGTGAATAAAATCCTCCTTTCTTTTTCTGCAACT